GTTGCTCAGGAGCTGTCTGCTTCACCATGTGGGTCACCTCCCTGATCAGGGATTGAACTCATGCTTTGTGTCTAGTAATAGGTGATAGCTTGATAGCGCTGAGACTCTATCCCCTGTGCCACCAGGGAGGCCTTTGGGTGATTTTTTTAAAACCGAGCTGTCATGTGGTCAAACTTACAGAGGTCAGATTTTTTTTAAAAGATTTATTTACTTGTGCATATAGAACTGCGGTACAAGCCAGACGTTTATTTAATTACACATACAGAACTGGGGTACAAGTCAGAGGTGCGGTGAGAGGATTCACCAGAGACAGAGTGGGGAGCAGAACAGACAGATTAACGAAGTACACTGCTGAGGGGAGCAGCAGGCGGGTCAGGAGAGGTCTGCCACACCATGTGGGTCACCTCTAGGGCCGGAATCGAACTCATGCTGAAGTGGCTGCAGCCAGCTTGCAGTGCTGTCTCCTAACCTGTTGAGCCACCAGGGTGCCCCAGAGGTCAGATTTTTATGTGGAATCTTGATGGTGGTCTGATTGCTGTGTGCAGGTAGGTAGTCCTGGTGAGCTGTGGAAACTGCAGTGAGGACGCTCCAGGCATGGATACTTAAGCCACCATCAATCTGGCTTCTTGCCAGAGGGTCCAGCCCTCTGCTTTTTCTAAGCATAGCCCAGCCCCTTTGGAACCTCACAGTAAACATAAAATGACCCCAGCACCCCCTGGGCTGAGGTGATAAGATAGTTTCTCTCTTGGTCTGGACCCAGGAGCCATTTACTATACCATGTCACCCTCATGAGCACTTGCAGAAGCCTCAGCCACTTCACAGGAGCCGCACGGACTCTTCCCCACACAGCTTCCCTCCCCAGTCCGAGCCACTGGCTTGGCTCTTCCGTTCCTGTGTGCTTGCTCAAGGCTCAGCCGCCTTCCTATGTGCTTGGCAGTTATGACAGGGCCCCCAGCAGGCGCATGTGTAGGCATTGATTCAGTGTAGTGGGGCAGAGGTAGCCTGCTCCTTCAGGGACTTTCCCAGGGGCTTCTCATCCTTTGGCTTGAGGAGGATTAGTGAGGTCAGGAAGACCCTAGGAGATACCAGGCTTCTGAATATGTCTGTGCATAGGTGGGGATGCTTGTGGATGTGTCACGGTAGTACAGATGTGAAAGTCCAGGGCTGGGGGTATTCTGGCTTCTTGGGTACCACCTGGGAGCGGTGGGGGGAGGGTCTACTTAACATCAGCACCCCATGTAGGCTGGGACCTTCACTGTTAGTATAACCAGAAGACACCCTCCATGAGCTCCTTTGTGTGACTTCAGGCACACTGCCCAAGTCTCAGTGAGATGGGGGTCACACCTGTCAAGTGGTGCCAGCTTGGGAAGGTGCTACCCTGGCCTGACTTGTGATCACTGGGCCCAGCCTTCTCCTGGTGCATGCAGCCTAGAGAGCCAAGTTCTGTGGCGTCTGCCCCATTTGGTCCAGACTCTCCTCTGTGTGCTCTGGTGTTCCCGGTGTTATCCTATTGCCATGAGACCCAGTGAGAGGGAGGCTGAGCCCTTTCCCCTTTACCCCTTGGAGAGTACATCCATCATGTGCAGGCCTTGCAGCGTGTATACATCATGGTATTGCCTTCTCTGCCCATTGGAGCAGGATTGCCTGGGTGCAGGACCCAGAGGCTAGGAGGGACTTTCTTTAATGCTTAGTCACTGCCAACCTTCAACTACTTCAAGGATTCCACTCCATGGGGGCTTAGATCCCTGCCCTTTCCTCCAGCTCTCAACTGGCTCTGGCCACCCAGCCCTTACTGGCTGGGACCAGGACCCTGAACTTGGGTTGCCAGGGTCATAGGAACACTCTTACCAGGGCCTGGACCTGCATGCTGGACCACAGATGGAAGTGGGGACAGGTGGATTGGGGCTGTCACCATGAAAGCCAAGACACTATCTCCCCACCCCCCTTCACAGGTGTCCTTTAGACCCAGTTGCCTGCATGCTTTTCCTTAGCTTGCAGTGCAATGGCTGGGACAATGGTGGCTATATCCAGGGCTTGTTTTCAGGGACTGGACAAGTCAGCGGGAGTGAAGGTAGCCCAGTAAGCTAGGGTGTCAGGGAGGAGTCGGTCAGGCCCTGAAGAGGGTGATGGAGGTCTGTGGTGGGCATGGGTGGGGGCATGCTGGGAGAGGGGCCTCTGCACCCTTGGGACCTGCCAGGCGTTTGCTGAGGGCGTATACTGGACCTGGGGTGGTAGATGGTGAAGCGAGGAAAGGGAGGAGTTGGTGGGCAGCGGAGCTGGCTTGAGTAGGGGGTGAGGGATTGGAGAGAAAGGCAGTTCCTGATGGTTCCCTCCCCAGGGGCTGGCTTTCCTCTGGTCCTTCCCTCCCAATGACCACATCTTCGTCGAGGCCGCAGCCCTGAACTCTGCGCCCACACCTCTGGTGCCTGGCTGTCTGGGGACCCCTGGGTGGCCTTCCCTCAATCCACGAAGCTTTCACTGCCACCACCTGGAGCACTTGTATGCCACTTACCTGAAACTGACTAGAATAGTGGGCTCTTGTGACCATGTTAGGGGCTTCTGTATCTGCCTGTGAGCACCAGACCTGTATCTGTGCTGTGGCTGGCACGCAGCCCCAAGGGACCAAAGCAGACTGAGGCAGACATGGCCTTCTCCTCTGACAGCCCAGAGTGGCATGTTCCTGGTGGGGCTTGGGTCTGTGGGATTTTGGCAGGGTTGGGCTGCTAGGGTTTCTCCCATTGACCAAATGCTGGCCTAGTGGCCACAGATAGTGTAAACTGGCCTTATCTGGAGTATTCTCATACCTGGGAGGGCAACTTCCTTGGGTGAAGGGCCTTTGTTTTCTGTGCTGGATTCTGGTTGTGTGGCAGATACTGGGAGCCCTGTCAGCTGCACCATCCCCTGCTTCCCTCTCTTCTTCCTGCATTCTCTGAGATGTTGGCCAAATCTACACTACTTTGTCAGCTCTTGATTACTTTTAAGATGTTTTCATATTTCTTTCAAGCATTTTGAGTTATTTTACAAGGAAGTTTGATCCTGCCCACAAGTACTAGGTTTGTCAGAAGCCCCTGGGATGCTGCCCCCTATGGGCACTACCAGGGTCCCCAAGGGCAGGAAAGTAGCCTGTTCCTCTTCCCTCCGGGTCCTCTTCTGCACAGAGTCCTTCTGATTCTGATACTGCCTTTGTCACAGCGTCCTGCAAGAGTCAGTTGGTAGAATCCCATCACAAATGGTTATGTCCTATAGTATCTATGCTTCTGCAGATGGTGCTTGTCACCTTAATTCCACCTGACCAGTGTAATAACCAGGTCCTTATTGAGAACCTTATTGGTTCCCTGAGGCTGTTGCCAGTGTCCATGCCTGTGGGACTGAGTCCTGTGTATGGCCTGTTGAAGCTGTGGGGACATTGGTGGAGTTACTCCTTTGGTGACATCCCTAACCTGGCCCTGTGGGCCCAGTGATTGGGAAGGAAGTGCAGTGACAGCAGCATTGTAGTGTCACCCACTTGAGGCCTGTGATCTCAACAGTTAATGTATGGTTGTGTCTGGGCTGCCAGCCTTGGACTTTGGCCTCTCCTTTTCTCTTGACTATGGTGGAGCTCCTGTCTGTCTGCATGGTGCTGGTACAACTCTGATGGCAGGGTCAGAGTGCTGGGAACATTCTTGTTCTGTCCTGAGACAAAAAAGGTTTTGCTTCAGAGGCCCAAGAACTGGGAACAATTACAGTGATGTCAGAGGGGAGCTCTCATCATCACTATATACCAAGGATGGGACAGGGTTTCTTCTGACACTGTGGGGACCCTGGACCAAGGGAGTGAACTGGAGCCCTTGCTGGCTCCTGGGTGCAGGAGGACTGTGCTGATGCCCCACATAGCAGGCTGACCATCTGCCCTGTGTAGCCACACTGAGATGAGGGGCAAGGGTGACATAGTTGCCTTGACTTGTGTTGAAGCTTGATGTGAAGAAGGATTGGTCTGGGCACTATCTCTCCACACTTTCCCATGGTGTGGGCTTGAAATAGACTTGTTTCACAGATATCTCCTCGTGGGTGGTGCCTGGCCCAGCTCTGGCAGGGCATCATGCTTTTGACATCCTGAGGGGCAGGCCTCTGGATGGACTCTCCCCAATCCTAGATCACCCAGGCTAGTGCACATGGAATTCAGGCATCTCCTCTAGACACACATAGTTACACATGCGCAATACACACGTACACATGTGTCCACACCCAGGCGTGAACCCGTGATGCCTGAGGTCAGTTTACCTGGGCTCCACCCAGGAGGCATGTCTGTAAAACACATCAGAGACCCTCACAATTACCTTACCCAGGGCCTGTGGCCTCAGGATATGATCTGAGATGTGTGGGCCCTATATGTAAGGGTTTGCTGAGTCCAAACACACCAGCATCTGGGTGCATGTCCACATTACTGGCACATATTTTTTGCTTGTGTCCCTGCCTACAAGGGTATATGTAGGGCCTTTGGGGTCCCTTGGTAGAGCCTGAGTCACTGTGAATGGAGGGCATGTGCCAATATCCTGCTGCATTGTACCCCCAGGCAGGTAAGCTGTGATGTGACCTTGCCTTGAGGAGTTAGAGCTAGAGTTGGTGCTATTGTCAAGAAAGGAGGAGGTGGTCTAGGTAGTAGGCACACAGTAGGCTGAATAGTTGCTCCGTGTGGTAGGGAGACTTCCTACCCCAGCATTGTGCATGGCTCTTGTTCTCGCTGCTGCTACACCTCCAGTGCCTACCATCCCCACTTGCCCTTTCCAGGGTTAGCAAACATTATGGACATCTGGCCAGTGCTGTTAAGGGCTCAGGTTTAAGGAAATGGTTGTGTGGTGTCAGAAAGCGCTGTGTCTGGCATGTGGTTCTTCCTCATTGAGTGAGGGTCAAGGACATGATAGAGGTGCTTCTGTGCCAGACCAGGGAATATTACATTTCAGGGGTGGAGGTGGTTTTTTTCCTCTGTCCTTTACTCAACTCATTTCTTTCTTCTCCTGCAGACTCTGACTCCATGTGAGCAAAGCCACCCCCAGGGGACCCATGTGCATCATCTTCTTTAAGTTTGATCCTCGTCCTGTTTCCAAAAATGCATACAGGTAACTCCTTGCTCTGTGTCTGCTGTCCTCCACTTGGCCTCAGGCACTACAGTCCTCATGGGGTCCATATAGGTGCTGTGTGCAGGAATGACTGTTGTCCATGGGTGGGGAGAGAACAGGCCCTGGGAGGATTGCATGCAGACAGTGGTCACTGTCTGGGTGCCAGAGGGAATACCTCTTGGTGGCAAATACCCTGAGCCCAAGTACACAAAGTTGTGAAGACTTAACCACTGAAGTTAATTGTGTGGGGAAGACAGAGGAGTAGAGTGGGTCCAGGTAGGAGCACAGCACTATGGACTCTCAGGGGGACCAGGAGGCTGCAAAATTACTGCAGTGTGAGCAAGAGCGTGACTTGGGCTGGCTGATCCATGTTGGCTAGGGAGAAATCTGGGTGGTGGTAGTAGATTGTGGGGTCTCTGATTCTGGAGCTAAGGAGAGAGACTTGGGAGTGTGGAGCAGAAGCTGGAGACCAGCAGGAGGATGTGGGAGACAGAGGCTAGGAAGGCATGAGATATGATTTGATCCTTTGTCCTCTGTCTCCCCAAGACTGTAGTCTCTGGGTGGCACCCCTCATTTCATGGGGCACTCCAGTGAGAATCCATGGACATTATTACATGGAGGATCAGGCATTTAACTTAAAACCAAAATAACATTTGAACCAGTTCACTAGTATAACTGCTTACTATTTTTTCATCATTCAGAAATCTGTACCAGGAAAAATCTGAACTATTTTGACTAGCTTCTTATTTTTGTCACCGTTCAAAATCACAGACATGTTGCCCAACATTGTGCTTGCATTCACTGATTCCGGGCCAGGAGATGAGGCTTAAAGGTTACCTAATGTTCCCTTCCTGCAGAGGAGTGAGCAGCGGAGCCAGGTCATGGTCGACAAGCTGACCCTAAATGACCCCAGTAGAGTGAGCTGTGTGAGTTCAGAACCCAGGCAGAGTGATTCAAGCAGGGAAAGTATAATGCACAGAACTATTAACTATAATGGGAGTAGAGTGCCCAGAACAGAACTGTACCTTTTACTCCCAGCCTGAGGTAAAAACTACAGTGGAGAAAGGGGCACAGCCATAGCACAGTGAGAAATTGTGGGGTGCCACAGCCACACCAGCAGAACTTGCTGGAAATTTGTTCTTAGGATAAGAGGGATGCTGGGTACAACTCACTGCTATAGGCGCACTGGGGAAGCCATATGTGTTGTAGGAATGTCTTGAGGAAGCATACTGGGGTTGGGAAAAGAAGCCTCCCTTCTGGTATTTCTTCAGTTCCCTCTATTGACAAGACCGATCATGCTCCTAAGTGCAAAATTCAGCTCCATTACCACAGTGTGTGCAATGAAGGGTGAGCTGGGGACTCGGTTACAATAATGGTTAGCTGACATGGCCCACCCTGCTGGCTATCGAGCTTTCATATATGCACTAATTTGAACTCCAATGCACCCACAAAATGACTTTATTTTCACCTGCCAAGTGAAGAATTTCTCAAGTGAGGATTTAGAGTCTGACAGCCACTGAGTCCTCTGCTGACTGTATTTGTTACTCCCAGATCTGCCCGTTGCTGCATTTGACATGTATCCTTAAGACCTCTCCAACCTCCTGCAGTGAGGAGGGTGTGCACAGGTCTCTCTTTCTTTCACTCTAGACCTATGGGAGACCTGAGTAGAGAAGTAGGCACAAGTGGGCCCAGATTCTTGGTTTCAGACCAAGATAACAAGTTGGTGCTGCTTTAAGCTGCAGTGTTTGAGGTCATTTGTTAGGGTGCGTAGAAACTGACATACCTCTCCTCATCTGGACCGTGCTCATGGATGTCCCCTGATTGGTATCAGAATATTTATTTAGACTCACAAGATGATGCCTTTTACCAGCCCCTGCCTGAAGGACTGCTGGCTGAGCTGTTGCCCCCTCATGATAGCTTCCATGGGGGTCGTCACTGCTGTTGAGCTCACTGACATGGACCTGTGCACCTGCTGAACCAGACTTCCCCCAGATGCACAGATTTACCCAGGCAGTGCATAGATTCCCCTACCAGACGATGCTCAGATTCACACTCAGCAACAGGTTGAGGTGTACCTACTGACGCTGAATCATTAACGGCAGACTAAAACTTCACATCCTCATCCTCTGATGGGCACATCCCTCGTGTCTTGGTGTCATGATACGGATAACTTCTGTCAGTGTGTGGTACCCAGAATTGGCAGGAGAGAATACATTCTCTCATGTTGAGTCTGATGGGAGCAATTACTATGCCTGATCCACTCTGAATTTTGTATTTAATGAAATCCCCAACAAACCACTAGCAATTCAACTAAATAACTTCTGCCATGACAAAAATAACCCAGCAACTAATATTTCTAGTTATTAAGAAACACGTGTTACTGTTCTTATTTAAAAATAATCAGTTGTAAATTTAGGACAGATGGCTCTGCTCAATTTTTCTTTTAATTTCTTTTTCCTTTTTTAAAAGATTTATTTACTTATGCATATGGAACTGGGGTACAGGCCAGAGATGCAAGGGCAGTGAGCAGATTCACCCGAGGGAGAGTGGGGAGCAGAACAGGCAGATCAATGAAGCACACTGCTGAGGGGAGCAGCGGGCGTGTCAGGAGAGGTCTGCCGCACCATGTGGGTCACCTCCCTGGCTGGGGATCAAACTCACGCTGCAGTGGCTAGTTATAACTTGATAGCACTGAGTTTTTAATCCTTGCACCACTAGGAAGGCCTCATTTTCCCTTTTTTTGGTGTCATATGTAAAATCCAGCAGAAGCTAACAGCACTGACCCCATGGCCATCCAGGTCCCCTCCTGCCACATGTGTGGGATGAATAAGAATGGGAAGAACATAGGATCTCTGACAGAGAGTGCTCATGGGGACCATGTGCAACTTAGACTTCCATCCTCAGGATCTGGGGGTAGGAGCTGGCCAACCCCTGTGGCATCTCTACCATAACTACACTGTCTGGGACCCTCTGTGCAGGTCTCAGCCAGTGGGGTTTCTTCTACTGGGGCAGGCCTTATAGGCAGTCTTTGGTAGTGGTACCTGTCAGGACAGACATAAGCCTGGTCCCAGAAGGGACAGAGCAGACATGGGTAGGAGCAGGCTGTGTGTCTCAACCCAGGGTGCGGGTCTGGGAGGACTAATGCAGCTGGAGCTACACAGGGTTGGTTTGTGAATGGCTGGAAATTGTAATAAGGACAGTGACCCTATTTGCTGCAGGCATGGTCCATAACCAGCTATGTGGAGAGGTAGAGAATGGTCACATAATGGATGGGCATCACTAGAGTGGTGATGCTTCCTGGGCAAACCCAACTGGTTCCATGGCTGCTTGAGGCCCCTGGCTGTGGTTGGCATTGTGTGTGGGGTTACACACTGTATGCACAATGAAAATGTTTGCAAAACCTGAGTTGTGATGCCTGTCTGGTTTCACTTTCAATTTTATGCATAGTTTAGTTAATTCACATTTTACCTTGAACAATTGTTCAAGTCAAGCAAATTGACAAGTCAACACAATTTCCTTAATACTGACCACTGACTAGAGTCACTTGTACACAATGTGCCTGTATGACCATACAACTCCCTATTCCTGTGTCCACTATGGTTCAGGTCCTTTAGTGGTTGCTGCTTAGATCCTGAAGTCTAACAGATGCCTTGGGATTGACTCCTGTGACCTGCAGTCACCATCTGTGTTCTTATTTACTTTTGTGGTAAGGTTGACTAGAAATTTCATGTTCTTACCACAAAACCAGTGTCCTAATTGTCAAATAATCTTGTTTGATTCACATTGTAAAAAACTAGTAAAACACAGAAATCATCCTCTCTCCTGAAAAAATATCCCCAAACACAGGACAGAGTGGCCTTTGGGGACCCTGTGCCATTGTCCACATGTCCCACCACCTTCTGATAGTAGACACTTCACATTTCCAGGAAGCTCATAGAGTTGAGAGTTGGGGGGTATTCTAGGGGAAGGGACAGATGAAAACCAGGGACCCTCCCCAGCAGCTCAGCACCGTCTGCCTGACCCCTCCCTCTTCCCATCTTGGAGGCTTGGGCCCAGGCTGTGCGACAGGGCTGGGTGGAACCCCATCTCCTGGCCCTGAGTGTTGTGGATGCATCTTCACTTGGCACCTGTCTATTTCCTCAGCCAAACGCCAACCCCCCGGACATTGTCCAGGCTTTCTCGGAACTACCTACCTGAATCTTCATCTTATGTGGGTTCCTGTCTTTGGCGTTTGCTATTTAAAAAAAAAAAAGTGTGCACCCCAGTACAAATAAATCAATTAAAAAAATAAAAAAAAAAAGTGTTTTTTTGTGTTTTTTTTGAGACCTTTAGTTGGTTTTTCTCCTTCAGGCTCATCCTGGCAGCCAACAGGGATGAATTCTACCACAGACCATCCAAGGCAGCAGACTTCTGGGGGAACAACAACGAAATCCTCAGTGGTGAGTCTCTTCTGAAGGAGTGAGAGCCCTGGAAGGGCTCTAGGTGCACTGGTGTGGCTTCTGGGTATAAATGCAAAAATGATTAAGTGGGCACAGATGACTCTTTAGGGTGGGCTTCAAAGTGAGGGACAGCATTGATGTACTTAGTCTCAAAACTGTCCCCAAACCCCAACATGGCCCTGAAGCCATGTGCACCCTTGAAAGAGATAGCTGGGAGGATCAGCTTGTTTTGTTTGAATCTACACTTTCAACGTGGTGTGTGGTTGGATTTGTGTGAGGTAAAAGATCTCCTCAGGAAAAATGCCAGATGGTTTCACTCATAGTAGGAGTATAACAGACTAGGCAAGAAAATAATAATAATAATGAACAGCTGTATACCAGAGACATTTTGTGGGGGTGGAGTGGGGAGTGGGATCAAAAGCAGTGGGGGGAGGGAAATGCACTGGACTGTGGTGATGACACATGGATGATCTGATGATGGGAAACCCAAGGGGATTAAAACTGAGATGGAAAAAGGCACAAAATGATGTAAAAATAAATGACTATATTATTAAAAAAATAGTAATAATTATCAGAACATTGAAAAAAGAAGATCTCCTCAGTCGTGTGTCATAGCTGGGGCAGGGGGTATGCATACATGTGGGCCTGCATGTGCTGCGTGTCTGCACATTTCTGTTTACCCTCAAATACCTTTGCTCTAGGGGGCCCGGCCTGCTTTGTAGAGCAGGCGCTTGGTTAGGGCACCAGGTGGTGCCATAGATGGGAGATACACCCAAGTTTCTTTGGGTGACAGCAGGGCCCTTTGCCTGTACAGCTGGCAGCCTCCTTGAGGCCCTTGGACAAGAAGCAGTTCCTTGACATAGAATGGGCTGGAATCTACTAGTGGCCTGGGATCTACTAGAAAGGTATTGGTGAAGCCAGAGGTCCTTCTGCCTTTGTGCCAGTCTAGCAGATCTGCCTGGGGGGGAGGGGTGAGGGAGGGGGGGGACGGTAGTGGGGGGTCAAAGCCTGGGGGGCGGGACATATGGCATTGTGTACCTTGGGAAGCTTTATGTACCCTGCACTTTTGACATGTCAAAAGACTTGCCTGTGGAGCTTTATAAAAGGCCCCTGTGCAGACTGGTCAGGTAGCAGTATGAGGAAAACACTGCTACCTGAGTTTTGTTTTTTTTGTGTGTGTGAGTGTGTTTTTTGTTTGTTTGTTTTTGTGCTGGCATGTTGAAAACAAGATGGGAGTGAGGAGACTGGGACAGGGCACCATCCTGGGCAGGTGGGGTGGGTGGTGGGGAAAGCTGCTCCAGGCTGTGAACAAGGACTCCAGATGGCTGTGAATGGGAAAGAGACTAGATCTCATCTGGGTCTCAGCCTCATCATCACTTGCTGGGAAATCCTGAAAATGTTGAGATGTCAACAGGACTCAAAAGGGATCCCCTTTCATGAGTCGTGGACTCAGTAGTATAGGATATGTGTTGGGAATTCCTACTTTTCTGACCATAGTTTTTCCAGAGGTCAAGGGGCAGGCATGTGGTGCTGTAGGAGGAGGGCCAAGAAGTGCATGCAGGTATGGCTAGGGCCATTCCCAGCCATCCTAAACTGGAGGCACAGGTGGGGACATAGTAGGCTATGTGTGTCACTGCTGCAGGGCATACATGGGAGGCTGATCAGATGGATAGTACGGGGTTAAGGGACTGCTGCCAAGGGGAGCAGGTGGCGGCTCTCAAGGATTTTTGTAGAGGAGAACACAGAAGCCTGGATGAAGACCTAGCTGCCCAGGCCCTCTGGCAGTCCTGGCCACCTGGCTCTGTTCTACCTTGGCTCTAAGGCCTGCACCCTGCCTCTGGGTCATTGCCCGTTCTGACTGGGGAGCTCTAGTGGCTTGGTCACTTACCCTTCGTAGTGATTTGGACTTGACCCCCAGAACTTTGATTCAGAACACCTGCCTAGTTGGAGGGTGGCCCAGTCACCACCTTGCTGGGTGGGCCCAGCAGCCAATACTGCCCGTGTAAGGCTGAAAGATGCTTGTGTCCACATTCTTCTACTGTCTGAGTGCAGTATAATTGAAGACTGATGGTATTCCTTACACCAGTGCAACAGCATTGCTTGGAAACTTGTTAGAATTTTAGAAAAAATGGGGTATTATTTCTTCAAACATTTTTTCCCACTGTCTGCTCTCTTATTCTTTTTCCTCTGCGTTTTGT